TGAGCCTGACCAGGGGCTGCACCTAGGGATTGGGCCTGCCCTCTGCCACCTGGGAGCAGGCCTAAGCCAGCAGGTCGTTATCTCCCGAGGGGTCCCAGACTGCGAGAGGGCACAGGCCGGGCTGGGGGACGCCCCTCTCCCGCCCCCCAGTGCACAAATTTTTTGTGCACCGGGCCTCTAGTTACTAGTATAAGAATCCTCTGAAGAGATTAAGGAATCAACAGCTTAAATAAATTCTGATTTTGAGACCGTACATCTAAAGAACAATATTATTTCCCTCTGTATAGAGTACAATGCTTACTTTCTGAAACCTCTTTTAATTATTTGTTCAGAGTTCACACTTTTATTAGAAAACTGGCTTCTCCCCTAAATATTTTTCTTTTACCAACCACACAATTTCTTTCTACTGGGCAGAAGCAACAAACAAGAACATGCTGCTTTTAAAACATTAAAAGGAAGAGCTAAAATTAATCACTCTTAGATTTATCACTCTTACATTTCTCATAGCCAACTAGGCACAGTTTGGGACAGGTTACTAGGTTTGTATATGTGGTTTTAAGCCCCTTATGTCTAAAATAACAACACAATTCCTGGTAAAAGCTTGCTTGTACATTCTGAATCTAGAACAAGTGAACCATTTTAGGTGATTCCAAAAGATTACCCTTATGCTTTAGTAGTCGAGCCAACCCTACTTAAATCTCTGGCAACTCTTGAGGGTGTGCTTCCCTGTATTACCTCAGAGTGGTTAATTAGTTAAACTGAAATTAGGCTTCTGTCACCTCTAAAATCTTCCTCCAAGTATGAACCAGAGTCTCCAGTGGTTTCAGCTGCTTCAACCACATTGCGGTATAGATTTAACATTCTGAGGCATTCTCAAATATTCCCAAACCACACTGAGAATGTGGGCTACAACAGGAAACAGATGTGAGTTAACAAGAACACTATCTCTACAGAGAGGAGGTAATAGCAAACCTTCTATAAACATCACATCCGGTTTTTGGAGCAGTTTCATCAGTTCATTAAATGTCAAGACAGGATTACCCATGAACTCTTGGAAGGCAGCCAGTCTACTACCCAAGTTGCTGCTATGCCACTTTACTTAACTAGGCACGTTAACAAATAGATGACAATAGGACAGTGATGGCGAACCTATGACACACGTGTCAGAGGTGACACGCGAACTTATTTTTTTGGTTGATTTTTCTTTGTTAAATGGCATTTAAATATATAAAATAAATATCAAAAATATAAGTCTTTGTTTTACTATGGTTGCAAATATCAAAAAATTTCTGTATGTGACACGGCACCAGAGTTAAGTTAGGGTTTTTCAAAATGCTGACACTCCGAGCTCAAAAGGTTCGCCATCACTGCAATAGGACAACTAGGCACCTATCATAAAATGAATTGGAGTGGGAATGCTATGCAGTAAAAGAGAAACTAAAATTATGCTCACAAGGAACTATTCCTCTTCTAATGTTCCAGGCAATAGCTAAATCAAGGAGCGAATCAGAAGTTATAAGACAGACAAATAGATATTATTGGGGGTTGATTAATACACTTCATAGGACATATGATGTAATTTAACAGAAATGGCACTTAAAAAATATATATATATACCCATGGAAATAACATTTCAGTCATGCAGAATCTCACAGGGGTGACAAGTAAAGAGAAATGCTTTGGACCAAGTAGGGGAAGTAAGGGGATGCCATGCACCTGTTTAAGAGAGCAGGAAGGGCAATGACAGTGCATTTAAAGCCTTTTAACCTGGTTCAAAGTAAATGCAAGTGATTTTTTAATATGAAGGGAAAGTATCATAATTGCACTAGATCATTTTATTTTTTTTCAAGAAGTCATGCTTAGAATATTAAACATTTGCAGTTACTAAGTTCCTTTACAGAGAGAGCTAAGAATTGCTATTATCACCAAAGCTTTCTAAAATCTGAATTGCACAGAAAAACTATAAAATTGAGAACAGATTTTCAGAAAAAAAGGCATTATAATAAACAGCAACATCACCTTAGTCAATTATACTGAACTAGGGGCCCACTGCACGAATTTGTCCATCTTGAAAGGAACTGTGGGCCGCACGGCTGCGGTGGGCACAGGGGTGGGTCTCGGCCCATCCCCCGCGCCCCTGCCCAGCCCCTCCTGCCACAGCCCCCCGTCCCCTCTCTGCCAGAAGCCTCGCTCCCGCTGCTGCTGCTTCCACGCACTGACGGCGCCAGCCCTGCTCACACCCGCTGCCAGTGCGGAGCGATTGTGGCCTGGGCCAGCAGCAGGTGCAAGCGGGGCCGGCACCATCAGTGGGTGTGAGTGGTAGCTGCTGCCCTGATCACCCCTCAGGAGCAGGGGGAGGTGGAGAAACCCTCAGTGCAACAGATGTTTTTGGCAGTCAAACCTGACCAAGAAAAATGAGAATGTTAAGACACAACATGTTTCTGCCTACTGCAGGATCTCATAAAGCAGAAATGGAGGCTTATTTCAAGTTTCCCCTATCAGAAAAATAGAAATGATCCTTTCTGCACATGCTTTAATATTTATTATCAGGAAGCCCCAAAACACTATATTAACACTTGGGTGGAGAAAGGGCGGGGGAACCCAGTGCAGACAAGTAAACCAGAAGCTTGTTCATAAAAGGCAATTGAATATTAGCATAATGAAGCAGCATAAACAAGTACCAGCATGTACCTTTTAACTGACACATACAGATAAGTAGTCACTCTCGGGTGCCAAGTAAGGAAATCAGACATATCCTCACAGATGCATTCTTATATTAAAGCACAGGCCAATATTATGACTGTCTTTCAAAAAGTTTGACAACATTAGCAATTCCTTGTGTCCCCTCATCCCTCTCTACAGAAGATGGTTATAAACCTCAGATAAACCTATTTATTCTTTCTGCAACTCTGTATAATAAAAATCGAATCTGAAACCCAGAGCTTCCCATTACTTTTCTCTGGTTTCCCTAATCCTTAGAACCAGTCCCCCAATATATCCAACATTTGGTTATCCTCCCTTACAAAAAAAGGGAGAACCCGACCTAAGGAATCTCCACTGAGGAAGCAAATAGCAAATGTACATTCTGAGCTTTTCCCATAAGATCCACTTGAAACACAAGATTTACTATGCCTTACAATGCTACACAGTAATTTACTAAAGAACTATCTTCTCTTCCCAAATGTACTATAAACACATATAGGGCAGTATGATCCCAAGTAAACTCTAAGTCTTCCAGAAAAGAACACGGCTATTAAATCCATAATTTGATATTTTCTTATTGACCCAGGAAAAAAAAGCAGTTTTCACTCTTGGGCATGACAAAAGTAAGGAAGCTTTCTTAAAAGGATGCATCTAGAAGAGAGCATGTGACCTAGACTAGGGCCAGGTCAGTACTTAGGATCAGCTTCTACATAACAAAGGCTAACAAATAACCTTCTAGAAAAAGAAGCATTTTAAAAATTATATATCTTTTCAGAAGTTTTCAAGTTCAGTATAATCCATCTACTATTCAGTAAAGCAAGATGAAAAGCCAGTGGTGGCAGTTGCTCCTATAATCACTACTAGTCTCAGGGAAATTAACAGTTTTTCTCCCCCAATTATGTAAGATTAATTTAGGTAAAGAGCTGCGCTCTTTCCTTAGTTTGCCATATATCAGCAATTTTACACATCATCCTAAATTCAGAAGAGAAAAAATAACAACACCAGCTCTTTATTTCCCAAATGTGTCTGTGAAAAGAAAATGACAAAAGCATTGATGCTCCATTAGGGAAACTTCATCAGAATCTCCAGGGGACAGAATAAGGAGAGGTGTGTGTGTATATAATTTAGTGGAAGTTAGATGTACAATTAACCCCAAATAACCTGTCAAAAAGAGGACAAAGACAAATAGAAGCTGTGTTCTAGCAAAGCTGGAAGAAGAGAAACAGATCTAAAAGTTAGGTTTAAAAATGTTGGTACCACTCAAGGAAGAAGTAAGTGAGAGAGCAAATGACACTACCATATACACCTGTATACAATGTATAGCACAGGACAACAGACAAAGATATCAGAATAAATACTAATTTTAAGATCTACTGGATTCACAGCAAACTAAGAAAATAATTCGCATTTAATCAGTATTACATATTGTTATGTAATGTGTATTTTTATTCTTTTTTAAAAATATTTTTAATTGATTTTAGAGATTAAGGGAAAGGGAGAGAGAGAGAGAAACATCAATGATGAGAGAATTGATTGGCTGCCTCCTGCATGCCCCCACACAGGGGACTGAGCCTGCAACATAGGCATGTGCCCTGACTGGGAACTGAACCGTGGCCTCCAGGTTCATAGGTCAATGCTCAACCACTGAGCTACACCGGCTGGGCTTCATTTTTATTCTTAAACACTATCACTCAGAACCTCCATAAATTCTCATTTCTTTACGTGAATCCCTCCTGAACTATTTGTGATTTTGAATAAATTTCTATATCTAAAGTGCTAAAAGTGACCTGAAATGGGAAAGCTAAAAAAAAAGTAAGACCAAATATGGAATTTAAAAAATCCCTACAAAATAAGAAATCAAGTGTTCTTCCCTACTTTAATTATGTTCTCTTCCCTTATGTACAGACATTCTTCTTGGACACATAAGCTTTAAACTTTTTCGAAGAGTAGTTAATACCTATACAATCAGGGATAGTCCACAGCTGATCAACAATACACACTTGTAAACTGGTTGGGAATGGGTGTGCAATTTGTATTCAGGCCAACCAAGTGCAGCTAATAGCCTGTCTGAAAAGTGAACCCGTAACCTTTGTCTCATTAGCACTGTACTCCAGCTGTTAAAGATTGAAACACTAACTTGGATTTAAAGGGTGGGGGCAATAAAACACTAACAACAGGGAGAAAATTTATATAGTCAAGTCTACGAAAAATTTTCTATTAATGGAAACCAGCTGCAAGAATAAGAGATGCAGTTTTCAGTATTTGAGCCTGGTGGGAATACTGATGGGATTTTTCTATTCCAAGTTTCCGTTCTGAAGTGAGGCCCTTCAATTCATTATTCTCTCAAAGTCCCTGGAACTCCTAAGAATACCTTTCTGAAATAAAAACTCTAGATCCCAAATTATCTATGTACTAGAAAATACCTGCTGTGGCTTTGAAGAGACATTCAAAGTGATTTTTGATATGAAAAGTCATGCATTCCTCAAAGGAATAGTATGATCAAAACTCTGTTTTAAATATGCAATCCATAAGATTTCTAGCACAGCTTAATTCAAAGCTGTGAAATTTAGACGTCATGCTCAATATTAAAGATATAAACCATTTACAAAATACTGAAAAAATACTCACCACTAGTTGTTTCCACCATACTTCTATTCTGATACTACAATTTAATTCTATCACCTATATATATAAGAGCCTAAGCGACCGTTACAACTGGTTAACAGAATGACTAGTCGACCAGTTGCTATGATGACCCACCCCCCACCAGCCCCAACTGCCCCAATCGGGACTGGGCGAGATGGCCCTGATCAGCCCTGACTGCTGGCCAGGCCGAGGAACCCCACCTGTGCAGTGCACGAATTCATGCACCAGGCCTCTAGTTTGGTAAATATTTTTCCCAAGCTTTGGTTAATTAATCTTTCTCCCCATAGTTCATAATCAATTTAACAACAAAAAGGCTATACACACACATGGGCTTTGTTTTCCTGACATGACTACCAGCTTTTCCAGTATAGATCTTATATAACATTTGTTTTGTGCAGAAACTACCCCTAGGAAATTTAGGCAGTGGCTTTTACCCATAATGAAGAAAATCATTCATATAAGTGATATGAAAGATGAATACCCATTTCTCATACCAGTATAACTCAGAAATCCTAGGGTTAGGTGCATGAAAACACATTAATTCCTAGAATCCTAAAGGTTGAAAAAAATTTCTGTAAAAGATTCCTCTAGAACCGCAGACAAAAGGCAAGAATACATGCATCAAATTACCATAACTCAAAACCATTATAAAACTGGTTCTAAAATGAAAAGCAAGAAACAAACCTCAATTTTGTCTGTTTTGGCATCTCCCCAGTATATTTTGCCTTCATCATAATCCAAGGCTAAACCATTTGGCCAACCAAGAGAAGTGTTAACCAACACTACTCGGTCAGAACCATCCAGAGCTGCTCGTTCAATTTTTGGGATTTCTCCCCAGTCAGTCCAATACATGTACCTATAGAAGTACACACACACAAAAAAAAAAATGAGCTAAAAACAGATAATAAACTATAGCTTTCAGATATACTAAGGTGAGATCGACCAGTCATATCACACTGATGTCATCAATTAACACCATAGAAGGGGGAGAAATAGCACTTAAACATACCAAGAGTATGTTTAAGGCATTTATACTAGCAGTGTATAAGCTTGAAGGGAATTTTCATATCAAAAGTGTTTTCTAGAGCCCTAACTGGTTTGGCTCAGTGGATAGAGCATCGGCCTGTGGACTGAAGGGTCCCAGGTTCGATTCCGGTCAAGGGCATGTACTTTGGTTGTGGGCACATCCCCAGTTGGGGGTGTGCAGGAGGCAGCTGATCAATGTTTCTCTCTCACTGATGTTTCTAACTCTCTATCCCTCTCCCTTCCTCTCTGTAAAAAATCAATAGAATATATTTTTTAAAAAGTGTTTTCTAGAACTGATAATAAAAATGCCTTCCAATAAATAATGAGATTCCATATTTAGTTATGTTTTTTCAAAATATTCTGTGCTCCTTCCCATAAACAATCCTCTCTTTTTCTTGCTGGCTTGTCATTTCTGACACAAACAGGTTACCCCAGTAGTAATAATCTACACTAATAAAAGAGAAAGATGCAAATTGACCGTACCTTCGTGACGCCCACCAGCCAATCAGGAATGAGTATGCAAATTAACCCAACAAAGATTATGGGTTAATTTGCATACGCAGGTGCCGAGCAGCCAGGGGCGGGGAGGGGCGGGGCAGGACACTTGTGTCGTCGTCATGGCGACAACGCAGGCATTCCGCACCGCCCCAGCCGCTCCAGGCCTCTGGGCAGCATGGGAAGGTGGAAAGGCGGCTCCAGCCGGAGTGAAGGCAGTGCTGGCAGCCAGGGGGAAGGAAGGCCCATTCTTGCACAAATCTTCGTGCATCGGGCCTCTAGTCAGTAATAAACAGAGTTCTCAAAATAACAAACTCTCACTGTAGTGCCAAGTGATTCTTCAGGCCCTTGAGAGTTTAATTGGCTCTAAGGCATTGGTATATACAGAAGTGTAAGGATTTGCCACTATGTTTGCCCTCAGAATGAATCTCATAGTTAACAAATAACATTGGTGAGTATGTAGAAAACTTTGTTTCCCTGGACTATGGTCAGGATGTTATGTCACAAAAATAAAAATAAGCCCTGCTGGTGTGGCTAAGTGGTTGAGCATCGACCCATGAACCAAGAGGTCCAAAATTCAATTCTTGGTCAGGACACATGCCCGGGGTTTCAGGCTCAATCCAGTAGGGGACGTGCAGGAGGCTGTCAATCAGTGTGTCTCTCTAGTCCATGTTTCTATCTCTTCATCCCTTTCCCTTCCTCTCTAAAATGGATAAAAATATACTTTTTTTAAAAAGAGGGGGCATGCTCTTCGTAACTTCTTCCTTCCTATAAAAAATAAAAAAGACTGGGAGTCAAGCTGCATGGCCTGACAAAATTTTAAAAATAGAGTCATTTATATATTTGAAAATATATGACATAAGATATGTTTTTACCACATCATTCCAGAAGTACTGAAAATGAAATGAAATTAAATGAAAGGGGAAGAAAAAGAGTTCTGAAAACTATTTCTTTTAACATTTTTCATGGTCATGATGCAACCTAGACAAAATCTGCAGCCAACACACAAAGTCAGCAAGCATGGACTTAATTTAGAAAGAAAAAGTATTCAAAACATTCAAGGGAAAAAACTAGCAATTCTTTAACTTGATATTTTATTACAATCACTATATACCAAAAATGGAAAGCCATTTATTGGAAACCATACATCAAATTGTTTTTGTCAATATAGTTATGGACCTATAGAAAACAAAAATACCAGGCAAAATGTTCTATTAGCAAGGCTTCTTACCCAACCATGGGATCTAACACAATAGCCCGGGGTTCCTCTAAGTCCTCCGAAATCAGTATCTTCCTCATGGTCCCATTGAGCCTTGTTACTTCTATCCGATCAGTGCCAGTGTCTGTCCAATAAAGATTTCGGGCAACCCAGTCAACAGCAATACCATCAGGATGTGCAATCTGAGCAGTGACCACAAACTGACTACCAGATCCATCTATGAATGAGCGGCGTATGGCCCTCACTTCATCATCAGTCCAGTAGATATAGCCTTCCACAGGATCATAATCTATAGCAATGGCATGACGGATATCTTCTAACTGTAGAACAATGTCTGTGAAGTCTGGTGTATCCAAAGAAATGCGTCTCAAGTCTGTCCTTCGAGCTAAAAGCAATAATTCAGTGGCACCTAGAACAAAGTAGAATAAATGAAAAGGAAAAAATAAAATTAAAACACACAAGCAAAATTTAGCAACTCTAAATAAAGAATGTAGAATTCCTTTAGGAATTGACACATAGTATAAAAGGATACTAGCATCTATTTAAGGTGAAAATGAAAAGTAATGCAGTGAAATAGAAATAGCTTGATTATGAGGTGAAGCTCTTTAATGACTGAACTCTGGTTTCATTCATTATATGCAGCCTCTGGGGGGCTGCTTAAAGGTATAATGAATACTAAGTAAGTAGTGACTAAGAAGTTAAGTAGCTAAATATTAAAGGAGGAAGGAGATAGGATATAGGTCCTTTGTTCAAAAAGTATGCTTTTGCCAGGGCATCGTGGCTCAGTGGTGAAGGTTGACCTATGAACCAGGAGGTCATAGTTCCATTTGCGGTCAAGACATATGCCTAGGTTGTGGGCTTGATCCCCATTATGGGGCAAACAGGAGGCAGCCAATCAATGATTCTCTCTCATCACTGATGTTTCTATCTCTCCTTCTCCCTTCTATCTGAAAGCAATAAATAAATGAATATATATATACACACATATACACACACACACACACACACACACACACATATATATTAAGTATGCCTCTTAAAAAGGTAAGGAAATCTAGAACAAGGTCTTTTTGTGATTGATAAAGATATTCTAAAATATCTTTGTGATGGTTGCACAACTCTGTAAATTTACTAAAAATCATTGACTTGTACACTTGAAATGGCTAAATTTTATGGTATGTAAATTATATCTCAGTAAAGCTGTGGACAAAGCTAACTATAAGATAATGCCTGGCTGAAGGAAATAGCAACAGAAGACAGAGGGAATCAGATAAATGTAACAGTGGTTAAAAGTACGAGTTGTGGATCTGCTAGAACTGAATTCAAGTAGCTATACAAACTTAGACAAAACACCCACTCTCTCTAAGCCTAGTCACTTTGTCTGTATCTCACAGGGTTGATTCAAGCACTCAGGAATGTACTGAACATAAAAGTACTCAATAAATATTAACTATTATTATTATTATTATCATTAGAAAATACTTTCAAATTTTTATTTCACTGAGTTTTAAATCCAATTTATTTATGAAATATTTTAAACTCAAATTAGTATTCAATAAAAATACAGCAGAGACTGGGAATATTTATAATTGTTCAAGTAAATCACTAGCAAAAAGTCATCTAACTATAAAAGCTAGTAAGAAAATTGACATCCAAAAGAGTGAAAAAAGATTCCTAACCAAAGCAGTAAGTGCAAAGGAAAATACTAGCATTAAACTGACAAGAGTAAAGCTCTCAGCATCAGCTTTTTAAATGTAGAATTAATTGTAAATGAACTCTGTCTTGAAGAAAATATAGTCCTAAATGCCATAGCAGGCATCAAGTAGGAATAACTGCAAAATTTACTGCCTTTGCTCTATCAAAAGGAGGCAGCCCAAAACTTTGTAAGCAAAGAAGTCACAGAAAGTTAAGCTGTTAATTTAAGCAAGGTGATCAAAACAGAATAGTTAACTTAAGGCTACTACAGGTCAAATATATATCTGAATTTCAAAATAGTTGTTAAACATGTACCCTTTGAGGGAGTAGACAGACCACTATTGCTAAAATAAATCCTGTTTTAAAGTCAGGCTACATATTTTTAAACAAAAAGGAAACATTACAAAAACCTTTTGTTTTAAATTGAAACCAAATTACTGTTTGCCATGGAAACCGTCTGACAAGAGTCAGCCAGCTTCACCTTTGACTATGAGGATAATTTATCAATGCCAAGTCATGACAAATATCCTGTACACCGGCTCAATTCCATCTCTCTGACTCCATGACCCCCCTGCCAGGAACTCTCTAACTCACTCTGAAAATAAAGGCTTCTGCTTTTCAGAGTTAGATAAAGAAGCCACTGCTAAATATAACAATTTTCTTACCAGGTCTTGCTGGTGGCTAGAGAACCAGACGGTGATCCATAGGGGTGAGATTGAAGAATAACATTCAGATTAAGAAGAATAAGAGAAGAACTGGTATTCTCCCAAATCAGAAGTCCCCCGAAATGTCCTAACCAGTATACCTCTCCAACATGCCCTCTCTCTATGGAGCAGCAATTTTTAGCTTTTTTCATCTCATGGCACACATAAACTAATTACTAAAACTCTGCGGCACACCAAAAAATATATTTTTTGCCAATCTGACCAAAAAGTATAATTTTGATTCATTTACTCCGAACGGCTATTGTTGTGTTGGCTGTTGTCATTTTTTAATTTGACAATCTAAGGGAAAAGAGGTCAGTGACCTGACTAAATAGTAATGTATTGCATGTTTTAAAAATTCTTGCAGCATCCCGGTTGAAAATCACTGCTATAGAGAATTAAGAAAGTAAGGAGAAGAGGCAGTGTAGTTGCTATGTATAGAGAGAGGTTGCTTTCAACAGCACAATATGAAACTTTTTCTTCTTCTGAAAGCACTTCTCTGTTATTAAAAGGCAATTAAAAATATCATTCTTTTTCAGACAATATTATCTACCCCCATGACAGTCTTTACAGTTAAAAGTTTAATAAACATATTTTCCTTGCACAGAGGTTCTTTATGTACAAGTGTTACCTATTGTTAAAAATGTACTTTTTATGAGAATACTCATTTCCATAGGAATCAATTGTGACATAAATGACTACAAGAGTTGACAGAAAAAAGAAATAGCACCTAATTGTTTTCAAAAACAGCATGTTAAAAATACTAAAATAATTTTTAAAATAGTTTGCAAGAGGCCAAAAAACAGAAAACACTCCTGTTATTTAACCAACTATGAAGATTAAGTAACGAGTCTCCTGAAGCACTCTACTATATAGAGCTTATTATAGAGAAATAAAACAAATCATAAAGAATTCCAATTGCTATTAAAAATGTTTCCTTCTTGGAGACCATGTTCTTACCATCTTTGCAAGTTTTTCCATTCTCCAGGAGTTTGACCCCAGTTGGGCAAGCACACTGATAAAAAGGCTTGACTGGAGACATCAAACACAAATGGGAACAACCACCATTATCAATTCCACATGGATTTGTAGCTGTCAAGTATAAATCACACTGATTAATACCAATGATTATAGATGACCTCTCTCACTCTAGGTACACAAAGGTTAACAACCATAACATGAACAACTCTGATAAACCAAATTATTACCAAATGCCATCCAGGTGCTTGACTACTAGAACATCTGCAAGGAAGGGAGTTAATCAGTGAGAAGTTATTTAGCATTCAGTATCCAAGAGGAATACACAGAAATAAAGCAGGAGGTCCCTGCCCTAAAAAAGCTTACAATCTAGTCGGTAAGCCAAAATTAACAAACTAGAAAACAATATAAAACCATGAAACTAAAGCCTATCTTGCACATTATAGACTATGGAAGTAAGTACTGAGTCAAATGGGAAATAAATCATTAGAGATTAAAAAAACAAAAAAGCTTCATGGAGGATGTAGGACATGACAGGGGCCTTGAAGGACAGGAAAGAAGACATTTCAAGCGCGGTGAAACCATAATATAAAAGCTGGAAGTCTGTAATTGGGAAAGAAAATAAGGTGAATAGTCGAACTGGAAATTAAGGTTTCTGTTGATTAATAAGAACTAAAGTTGAATGAGCACAGAGAATGAGAACAGACTGGCAGAAGGGACTGATAATCAAGAAAAGTAATTATAATGTAAAAAAAAAAAAACCACTTTGGAAAGATTAACATGGAAAAGATACGCATATGGATTAAAAAAGGGAATTTGTAGAATCTATGAAAAAAATAGATTTAAATAATATTCATAGAAAAAATCAGTAAGATAGAAGCCAACAAAATATGAAAGATTAAGGAAAGTAATATCACAGATAAATGCAAATTCTCAAATTAGTAAAACACAAAGTACCAACAGGGCAATTAAAAAAAACAACAACACGGAAATTCTCTCCTGAGGGCTAATCATGAGAATAAAAAATTCATACAAATGACTAAACATTTTCTTTTTTACAAAAGAGCAACACATACATTTAAAAGCATTTCTATGGACTCATAATCACAAGATTCCAATATAACAAATTCAACATTTAACTATGTCCCGCCTAAATCAGTGGTTCTCAACCTTCCTAATACCGCGACCCTTTAATACAGTTCCTCATGTGTGGCGACCCCCAATTTCATTGTTACAAATTGAACATAATTAAAGCATAATGATTAATCACAAAAACAATATGTAATTATATATGTGTTTTCCGATGGTCTTAGGCGACCCCTGTGAAAGGGTCGTTCGACCCCCAAAGGGTCTCGACCCACAGGTTGAGAACCGCTGCCCTAAATGGAAGGAGCTAATACAAAGCAATGTATAATCTAAAAACTCTTCATTTTTGGCTATGGAATACAATCAGACACATGCCAAATATTTATTTACACACAACTGCCAAACACTTAACATTCTCAAATTCCTTCAAATCTAATTCTATCCCTTTTGTAAGTAATTGTTGTAGGCAGTCACAGCCCAAACCATTGTAAAGGTTGACCAAAAAACAAAAGCAAAATTAAGATAAAAGGGGATGGGAGTGTGCACAGAAAAGTTTCTGTAGGTATTTTATTAGGTACTTAAATTTACCAGTTAGATTAACAGAAGATTCCATTCAAGAAGAGTTTGTTTTTAAACATACTCATAGGAAACATCAAACACACATTAGAGAGACATAATATGAACAAGAAATACATTTGTGTATGAGCTATCTCAATTTCTTATTTCCCTCTTCTCCACCTCTATAACTCTAAATCCAAACAAGGGGCTGAGGTCATCTGTAGTGATAGATATTAGGCTGTTGTTTAACCTGAATTATATTTTGATGTTTTCCCTATTAATTCCTCCCTGCTACCATGTCCTCCTGCTTCTCAAGAACGCCAGACATCACAGTGCTTCAAAGTTATTCCAACTTGCAATTTAAAAATCAAGATCACTTACCATTTGGCTGCCTCTGTTGGCTGAAGGCATGTATATCCATGGGAGAGAAGATGTTAGAATGGATTTCACGCAGACCCTCGCCAGTGTACTTGTTGCAAGCCAAAATGGAGTGTGTATTCCAGTCAGTCCAGTACAATGTGTCCTCAAATAACGTCAAGGCAAAAGGATGAGGAAGGGAACCTTTAACCACTGCCTGCCTAGTAACACAAAGAGAAAAACTCATATATTTCTAAATTTTATTATTTTATCAGAATTTCATCTCTCCCACTAAATGGTTTTGTAATCCACATTAACACATACAAACCCTGAGTAACACACACTAGTATCTTAAGGTCAAATACACCTGTGAAAAATAAGTCACATAGTAAATTCAAATATATTTTCATAGTGTCCAAGACCCCCAAACCAAGTACTTCAGAATGGTCCCTAATTTGGTAGCAACCCCCAGGTTCACTAGAAGCTACCAGACAGAGAAGCCCAAATGTTAGCACTGCTATCAATTCCCATCTCTGAATTCACATCTTCCATCCTTCCACATAATTCATCTCATTACAGGAGAAAGGTTGGCAAAAAGAAAAATCCTATGGTTGGCACTGGGAAGCAGTTTTAAATAAGCAATAGGGCCCTAACCAGTTTGGCTCAGTGGACAGAGCGTCGGCCTGCGACGGAAAGGTCCCAGGTTCGATTCTGGTCAAGGGCATGTACCTTGGTTGTGGGCACATCCCCAGTAGGAGGTGTGCAGGAGGCAGCTGATCGATGTTTCTCTCTCATTGATGTTTCTAAGTCTCTATCCCTCTCCCTTCCTCTCTGTAAAAAATCAATAAAAGATATTTTTAAAATAAATAAATAAACAAACAAACAAGCAAGCAATAGGTTTTTTCCCTTCTTGATGTGGAAGGACAAAGAACCTAAGCCTGTTTCTTCCATCACTTCGTATGGTTTCGATAACTGAAAGTAAAAACATACACATAAGGCTAAAAAGGTGTTCTGGTAGAGCTTTCTCTGGAAACCCGTCTAGTCCAGCACAAGATCATCTCAGCTGGCTTTCGGCTATATGATTTCTTAACCTCCACAAGTCACGTAGCAAAAAGGAAGTCCTGCCACTGGCAGAATGTGTTCATGAGATAAAGCAGACCTAAAACCTTCACAAGCAATCTATGCTATATGAAAGAAAAGGTAGACTGCCTGATTAGTACTAAAGGCACAGAACTTTGCAGAGTGTCATGGAGAGTGATATAATTCATAAATACTCTTGAATAATAAACAAAAAATGTTCTGAGCCAAAATAATATTAAAGAAAATAAATGCTTTGACATTTTCATATTATCAAATATAATAGTTTCATAAATAGCCCAGGGAGAGAAAAAAAAAGGGGGGGGGGACAGAGGGAGAGAGAATATAAGCAACTGAAGATAAAGAATATCACATATATTAGGGAAGAAAATTCAATTTTTGGTCCTTGAGGTTATTTGATGATCTGTAATATCTAAGAGACTACCAGTAAAATAGATTAAATTGAGACAAATAAAATAATTTTTATCTAAGCAGAATTAGCATCTGTTACTGCACATGAAATGGGTCTAGCCTAAGGTGTTTTACATTTAGGGCAAATTTTTAAAAAACTGAATACACAATTAGCATTACAAGTTTAGCAAACAAACTTTTTATTTTAGAACCTTATATCTACTCTACCAGCCCAATCACTGCAATTTTCTCCTCTCATTTTTCTTATTTATCTCTTCCCTAGCAAATTACTTTTCCACCTCATTTCCCAAAAAGAACTGTTACAATGTCCTCCACTTTTTAAATGAACAGCTTTAAATTCACTACAGTGATTATGACATTTACAGGAATGATATCATAGTTTAAGTCCAAATTTAAATAGACCTACATATTTCATACTAAAGTCTTTCGGAATTCATTATGGTAAGATATAGAGAGAGAGTTCTGAGAAGTTGCCAAGAAAGGCAAGTAACACAACTGAAAAATAATAGTAAGAACTAAACTACTCAGCACTTCATTAACAATCTTTAAAAATTGCAAATTACATACATAATGATTTTTCTTTTATTTATACTTCCCTGGATTCTGTCATCTAATTTCTGAGCTTCTAATTTTAATTTATATTGATTTTTGACAGGTAACATTTCACTTACTGATAGTGCATTTTAAAATGGAGGTTTTGATCTGTTCTATGATATCTTTCTAGGAAGTTTCCTATGAAAGGCATTACTCTGTTCATCATTTGTTTTTTTCTTTATAACATTTTTTTCTTCAGCTCTACTGAGGTATAATTCACAAATAAAATGGAAAGATAGCACAGTGTATGTAGTGATAAGATATACATATAAATTGTGAAAGGATTCCCCCATCTAGTTAAACATCATATCTCACAATTTTATTTTTTTTAGTTTGTTCGGTGTTTAAGGTTCAACTCTCTTAACAAACTTCAATTATTAGTATATATAATGCAGTTAATCAATTATAATCACAACTAGAGGCCTGATGCATGAAATTCGAGCAAGAGTAGGCCTTCCTTCCCCCAGCTGTGGGCACCAGCTTCCCTCTGGCACCCGGGACCCGGGCTTCTCTCTGGCTGCTGGCAGGCACCAAGGACCCAGGCTTCCCTCACAACCCCGGCTTTTCCCGGAAGGTCGTCCGGTCTAATCAGCATATTATGCTTTTATTATTATAGATGTTATACAGGGGTGGGCAAAAATAGATTATAATAATAAATAATACAATAATTCATAAACAATAATACAAGAATAAACTATTTTGTATACTCACAACTATAAACCTACTTTTGCCCTCCCCTGTACATATATATTTTTTAAAATGTTAACATGTCTTTACTGATTTTAGAGAAAGAAGAAGAGGGAGAGAGGGAGAGAGAAACATCGATTGGCTGTCCCTATATGCACCCTGTCTGGGGATCAAATCCACAACCCCAGTATGTGCCCTGTCCTAGAATCGAACCAGCAACCCTTCAGTGCAAGGGATGATGCTCAACCGAGTCACACCAGCCAGGGATGACCACCCCTGTATTAAAAATTTAATTCCATTAAATCCTCAGACCTTTTTCATCTTATAGCTAAAAGTTTAAACCTTTTTACCAACCTCTATTTCCCCTACATCCTAGCCCTTGACAACCAGTTTTCTTCTCTTTGTTTCTATGAGTTTGACCTTACTTTTCTGTTGGGATTCCATATACTTGATACCATATAGTGCCTGCCTTTCTCTATCTGACTCATTTTTACTGAACATAATTCCCTCAAGTCCCATGTCCTTCCTTCTGATGGCTGAATAATATTCCATTAATGTATATGTACACCACAATTTATCCACTCATGTACTGACAGATAGACACTTAGGTTGTTTCTATGTAGTATTAGTTATTGTGAATAATGCTGTTATGAACATGGGAGAGCAGATATTTCCTCAAATTTCTGTTCTCACTTCCTTTGGATATATACCCAGAAGAGGGATTACAGGATTATACGATAGTAATATTTTTTTTTTTTTTGAGGAGCCTCCATACTGTTTTATATTCTGTATGTACCAATATAAAATCCCACCAACAGGGCAAAAGGTTTTCCTTTCACCACATCCTCACCAATGTTTATCTCTTGTCTCTTTGATGATGGAAATTATGAGAGGTGTGAGATAACTCATTCTGGTTTTGATTTGCATCACCCTGATGATTCGTGATGTTAAGCACCTTTTCATTTACCTGTTGGCTGAATATAGGTCTTCCTTTAAAAAAAAAAATCTACTTAGTTCCTCTGCCCATTTTTTAATGACATAGTTTGTATTTCTTACCATTGAGTTGTATGAATTCTTTATATATTTTGGATATTAGCACCTTATCACATATACAATTTACAAATATTTTCTCCCATTGCACAGGTTGCCTTTTCATTTTGTTGGTTACCTTTACTATGCTAAAGCTTTTTAATTTGATGTAGTCCCACTTGTTTATTTTTGTTTTTATTGCCTTGCTTTTGGTGTCAAATCCAAAAAAATCATTGCCAATACCAATTCAAGAAGCTTTTTCCCTGTTTTCTTCTAAAAGTTTTAGAATTTCAGACCTTAAATTTAAGTATTTAACCCATTTGAGTTTCGGGTCCAATTTCATTCTTTTGCATGTGGCTGCACAATTTTCCAAACATGTACTGAAGAGACTATCCTCTCTCTGTTGTATATTCTTGGGTTATTTTTTGTAAATTAAAATTGAGCATATATGCATTTGTTTATTTCTGGACTCTCTATTCTGTTTCATTGATCTATCTGTTTTTATATCAATACCATAATGTTTTGACAAGAATAGCTTTGAAATATAGTTTGGAATTATAAAGTATAGTGCCCCCAACTTTGTTCTTCTTCATCAAACTGCTCTGACTATTCAGGGTACTTTGTGGTTCCACACAAATTTTAGGGTTGTTCTATTTCTGTGAAGAATACCATTAGAATTTTAATAGGTTTCTGTTTTTGATTACCTTACCATGAGGCTTACAAAAGGAAATCTATCCCAGCAGGGATGAGCATAGACAGAGCAGTCAGAATCACCCATCTCTCAAGTTATTCCTGAAAGAAGTCTATTTGCCTCCTTTGAAAGCTGCTGTCTAATGCTCAGGCTTCTATTTTAGCAGATATCTAGAGGATGACTTGTAAGCCTTCTGGTAGACCAAAGAAGCTGGCAGACGCAACCTCCATCCTAGCTTACTCCAAACCTCCATTATCTCCACAGATTCAGCTTGTACACATATCTAGTGCCCCAGCTTTTTCCATGCTGCCCAAGTGATGAGGCCCTAGACAGCCTGCCTCTGAAAGCCAGTAAGACTTACATCCACAAGTCCCTCAGGACTGTAGCAAGTAATGAAGCAGTTCTTAATGGGTATAGAAGCAACCCCTTCTGCAGCTATATATCCACATCCAACATAGAGGGAGCAGGTAAAAAGCCCATCTCCAAATTTCTCCCTGGAAGGGCCCTGGCTGTATATTTTTGCAGCTGCTGCCTGGGAGTCCAGCTTCCAATCAGCCTTCATCAAGGTGCAATCCTCCACTTTGAAATGCATGACCGGTATTGGCACAACCTCAACTACTGGGAGCCAGCCACTAAGACAAAAAAAGGTAGCTTGGACAATCACAAAAGTCTGAGAGACAACCAAGAGCTTAGGGGAGGCTGATTGATAAGGTTCATTTCCTAAACAAGATGACTCTGTCAAGACTGGAAAAGGTGTCTGTTTTATCTAATGTGCAGAAAGCAAAGAGTCAAAGAAAATGAAGAAACAGGAAATATATTCAAACAAAGAAAAACAAAATAAAACTTTAGAAACAAACCTTAATGAAACAGAGGCCCATGATTTACTTGATAAAGATTTCAAAATAACAGTCATAAAGATGTTCACTGAAGTCAGGAGAACAATGCATGAACAAAGTGAAAATTTCAAGAAAGATAAAAAAAATAAAGTATCATACAGAAAGATCACAGAGCTGAAGAATACAATAACTTATCTGAAAACTTCAAATAGAAGAGTACAAAAGCACAATAGTTCAAATGTAAGGAAGGATCAGCAAACTCAAAGTCTAGGCAGTGAAAGTCACCCAATCAGAGAGGCTAAAAAAAATACGTAAAGATAGCTCAAGGGCCTTATGGGACACCATAAAGTAGACTATAATTGCAATATAAGGGTTCCAGAAGGAGAGGCTAGAGAGAAAGTGGCAGAAATATTAATGGAAGAAAATGGCTAAAAATTTACCTAACCTGGAAGAAAAAAATAGACATCCAGAAAGTTCCAAAAACTATTCATTCAAAAGGTCACACACCAAAACACATTATAATTAAACTAGAGGCCCGGTGTATGGATTTGTGCACCAGTGGGGTCCCTTGGCCTGGCCTGCAGGATCAGGCCGAAACCCGGTCTCCGGCATCCCCTGAGGGGTCCCAGACTGCAAGAGGGTGCAGGCCAGGCCAAGGAACCCCACCAGTGCACAATCGGGGCCGGGGAGGGACGCAGGAGGTTGGCCAGCTGGGGAGGGACCACTGGAGGGCTCTAGGGCATGTCCAGCCCGTCTCGCTCAGTCCTGATCAGCCAGACCCCAGCAGCAAGCTAACCTACTGGTCGGAGCATCTGTCCCCTGGTGGTCAGTGCACGTCATAGCGAGTGGTTGAGCGGACTTAGCATATCAGTAGCATATTATGCTTTGACTGGACACTTAGTATATTAAGCTTTTATTATATAGGATTGTCAAAAGTTAAAGAGACTCTTTAAATCAGCAAGAGAAAAACAACTTATTTCACACAAGGGAACCCCCACAAAGCTATCAACGGAGTTTTTAGCAGAAATGTTACAGACCAGGAGAGAGTAGCAGAATGTATTCAAAGTGCTGAAAGACAAAAACTGCCAAACAAAAATATAGTAAGTCCTTGTTTAATATCTCTGATAGGTTCTGCAACTTTAAGTGAAATGACATCTAATGAAACAAATTTTACCACAGGCTAATTGACATAAACAAGAGTTAAGTTCCTATGGTATCTCATCAATGTTATAATGAAACCACACTGAAAGAAGTTATTCAAGGACCTACTATACTCTACCCAGCAAGTAAAAGCTAAAAGAGTTCATCACAATTCGATCAGCCTTACAAGAAACATTAAAGGAACTTCTTGCAGCTGAAACAAAAGAACACTAATTAGCAACAGAAAAACATATGAAAATTTAAATTTCACTGGTAAAGACAAATATACGGTTAAATTCAGATTACTCTAATGTTGGAATAGTGGTGGGTAAATGTGTTAAAAGACAAAAGTAGTAAAAAATAAGTACAATGTTATTGTTAATGAATACACAAGGTAAAAAGATGTAAATTGTAACATCAGAAACATTAATGTGGGGGAGAGTAAAAGTATAGGACTTAAGTATGCGTTCAAAGTTAAGTTGTTATCAGCTTAAAATACTGCTATAAATTAGATGTTCCTTACAATACCTTAAGTGGGACTTAATCTTGACACTTCTGTTTCTCATGTTTATGTAAAATTATAGTTTTCCTGAACTTTTATAAAAAAGTGGGGGTCAAGGTAGTTTTTCTAACTTTACAGAATTCAGTCTTCTGTTGCTCTCATGTAATATTAAAGACAATGGAAGCTTCCTTTCTGAGATCTCCAGCTATTCCTCTATCTTTACTGAACTTTATCTTTCCTTTCCCTTTCATTCCTTTTCATTTTCCCTAGTCTTCTCAATTTTGATGATACTATTCTATTCTATTTGTTTCCACTCAGTGTGGTATCCTGCTCTGGTAGAGAACTCTAGCAAGTCCATTTCAAGAATTCTTTGGAGCCAGACTGCTCTATCCTTTTCTGTCTTTACCATGGACACACTGTACTTGCCTGATATTAGAGTGGGCAACCCCCACCCTCTCATTTCAGCTGCTGCTCTTAATATAGTCCACCGCATTGTCTAGTAAATCATTGAGGCTATTTTGGAGGTCTCCTGCATTTAAGTTCAATGAAACATCCTATATAATTCACCCTCCCCCACTTATTCTTGCACAGATAGTAATACTATGGAGGTCTGTAGCTATTAGTGGTCTGCCCTTACTTGCTTTTATTTCTGGATGCTTGAGGTTTATTTATTTTATGTTTTTGGATTTGCTATCTAGTTTCATGGGTTTTTATATGGGTATCTGAAGGAGTCAAGAAAACTATGACATAGCCACATTCAACTAGTGCCCCTCTCAAAGCCAAATGTTAAGTTCAAACACAACAATTACCTATCTACACTAATAAAAGAGAAACATGGTAATTGGCGTACGACCGCTACCCTTCCCATTGGCTAATCAGCATATCCTTATGCAAATTAACTGTCAGCCAAGATGGCGGCCAGCAGCCAGGCAGCTG